GTTTGTGTGTTCTCCAACACAACTCTCACAACGCTTCTCTGAACGCACACGCTCTCCCAACGGGGAGCTTACCTAACATGCTCCAAGACACAGATAATCAAATTATGATCATGTGTTTAACAATTGTTCTAAGTTTAAAGGACTGGTGGTTTATGACCAGTCCTCACCCCTACAATTCTTGCAGTGTCACTTTGGTCCTCTGATCACAATCCGGACGCTTGGCTTCAAGCATTTGGAAGCTTAGTTTGCAACTGGAACAGTGGTAGCGTTCTGATTCACAGGATCGCTATTTGCATCCTTTCTACCGAGTTTCTCATGCCAGTCAACGTCAATGGCAGAGTGGAACACAAGTAATGATCATATAATGTCTTGCTAAGCCACCCCAGCAAAAAGGTCATAAAATTGGGTGCAGTCACATGATGCCTCACTTAACTACCTCACAATGACTGCCGTAATTTTCCAGTCCCAATTTTGGTTGCCTGTCAAGAATTCCCCATACGGCTAACCCTCTGAGACTGTGGGACCTAGAGGTGTCCATATCAAACAGCCAACATTCCCTTTAGCTCTAGAAGCTGAAGAAGTCACCGTGCTAATTCAGGGCTACTCATGTTCTCAAATCTCAGAGAGCATCTACGCTCATCTCTTATATCAGCGGCCCACAACCTATGGGCTGCTGCCGACCGGTGAGCTGTGAGGGGTTTGCAACTGTGCCATAGAAATAGCATCCTGACCCAGTGGATGAGTGTGTGCACGTGTGCTACATTGGCATGAGCAGCAGGCACTTGTGCACACTGCTTGCGAAAATGGAGCTGCGTGCATGCTTGCTGGCTGCTTGCACAAACCATCTCATCCTCCACCTCACTGGTCTGCAAAACCGGAAATGTTGGGGGACCCTGCCTTAGATCATGGGTGGCTAGAAAATTCTAGGCGTTGAAGTACCGTACACCTATCGGTTGTGGCCCACCAGCGGCCAGCAGAGCTGGCAGCAGAGTCAGACAGTGAGGAGGTTGGGGAGGAACATGGGCCAGTCCTGGAGGCTGGGGATGAAGGCTCTACATCCAAGGCAGAGACGGCACCGAGGCTGTCTGGCAGCGATCAGGTGCCTACGGAGCTAGTGAGGCAGAGGAACAAGTGGAGCTTGTTCCCAGTGTGCACATGCGCAGAGCTGCCAGAAGAAAATAACAATTCAGAAATCAGGGTAGACTTGGGAGTAAAGTCAGAGGTGGAAGGTGATTGGCCCCTCCCATAGGAAATAAAAGAGGAGCCAATCACCCTCCACCTGTGACTTTACTCCCAAGTCTACCCTGATTTCTGAGTTGTTCTTTTCTTCTGGCAGCTCTGTGCATGCGCACACTGGGAACAGGCTCTAGCTGTTCTTCTGCCTCACTGCTGTTTAGCTCCGTAGGCAACTGATCACTGCCAGATGGCCTCAGCCCCATCTCTGCCTCCGACGCAGAGCCCTCGTCCAAGCCTTCCCCAGCCTCCAGGACTGGCCCATGCTCCTCCCCAACCTCCTCATTGTCCGACTCTGCAGCCAACTTTGCTGGCCGCTGGTGGGGAACAACACTATCTTAAAAGTTGCTGCGGTTGAGAGAGGCTGTCTTAGATGGCAAGTTAATAGCCCAAGCCACCCATCCTATGGTTCTTGCGCAATGCAAAACAGAGTGAAGGAAACTGCTTAACAAAACAGACGGGGAATTCTTACACTTATCGTTCATAAATCTCCGACAGAACTCCTGGAACGTTCCTCTGTAGCTCATGGTTCTCAGGGAGCGATGGAACTGATAATAAGCGACGACCAGATCTTTGGGATTACGAGCCATGTATATGATCTAGGGAGATGAAAAGCAATTCATTGAGCAGAATGCGCCCTCCATCCCACCTCCCTAGCTCAGAAAACCTGCAGAGGGCAGGTAACGTAGGTGACCAGTGAAGGCTACCTTTGATTCGCCGCTATGCAGGTCAGAAGGCAAGAAGCGGTACGGCAGGTGGCTTTTGATCAGGCGAGGAGATGTCAGTTCCTGTAATAGGCAGAGTAGAACATGAAGGCTCAGGGCTGACATGGGCCAGCATCAGTGGTGGGTTTCAAAAATTTTTCGAACCTACTCTGTGGGTGTGGCTTCCTTTGTGGGAGTGGCTTGCCGGCCATGTGACCTGGTAGGAGTGGCTTGCCAGCCATGTGTTCTCTCTCTCCCTCTCTCTCTCTCTCTCTCTCTCTCTCTCTCTGTCCCTTTTTCCTTTTTTC